AGATAGCATTGGCCTAAAAGCGTCACGAAATCATGAATTTCATTGGTATGCAAAAAAAAACAGTTAACCCAACAAAATATGAAAAGAAGCGAAGTTTTAAACGTTATTTTCGGTGTTGTGTGCACTTTAATTTCATTTTCAACTCTTTCGCTCAAACTCTCTCTCTGTCTCTCTGTCTGTTACGCTCTCTTTCCTAAAAACAACTGTAACTGAATACACTCTGCTAAATGTAAGTCACAAAAACTAACTTACTTTTTTTTTAATTTTATACATATACATACACTATAAACGTAAGCATATGCTGAAGAACACAAAAATCAATCCGTCTAAGCCACAACCCTCCTCTCCCCCCCCCCCCCTCGTGCCATTTGTTTACAATGCGGGTTAAATAAATCGATTTTTAGCCACGCTGATGAAAAAGTTCAAGGTTGAAATTCTGACAACTTTTCTGTCTGTTTCACAATTCAATTCATTTATTATGCATTCAAGTTGACTACAGGCCAATGTCCAAGTTTTCCAAGTTTTCTTTTCTCTTCACTTCCTTTTCGTGTCACGCCGCTTTTGCAGCGAGCTGGCAGCGCTGCTGCTGCACGTAGAGCGCGTCGCCTGGCCGACAGCTGAAGGCCTCGCTGAACTCGGGCGTGTTACGCAAGAGCGCGTGCTGCAGCTGCCGCTTGCGCTCCTGCTGCCCCTGCTGCCCCTGCTGCCCGTCGCGGCACTCCACCAGCAGGCTGCCCACAAAGTACAGCCGCTGCAGCGTCAACTGCAGCCGGCCGACGGTCAGCTGCGGGTTCACTCTAGCGACAGTTGCCTGTTGTCCCGTTAGCCACTGCTTATAGCAGCCATTCGCCAAGCGCTGCGCCCACATGGTCAGCAGCAGCTCGTGGGCGTTCGTGTTGCTGCCCGCTTGGCTGCAGTTCTGGAACTGAGCGAATTGCTGCTCCGAGTCGGAGCTGCGCCAGGCGCCGGGCGTGCGACTGCTGCTGCCGGCGGCCACCAGATGGCGCCCCAAGCGCTCCGACAGCAGCACATAGTTCAGCGGCGCGCTGAGACTCTGCTGCTGCTTGGCCAGCAGCCCGTTGATTGTCTCAAAGATTTGGGCATATTGGCGCAGCTGCAGCGCCGCGGCGCTGGGCGGCTGGCGGCTGTACTGGAAGCGTCGCAGCTTCTCCATGTTGCGGTAGAAGCTGCGCCGGCCCAGCTGCAGCGGCTGGTAGGCGGCATCCAGGCGCCCGTCCCCGTTGAGCAGCACGTGCATCAGCTGGCTGAGAAAAAGCTGCGAGCCGTGCTCGGAGATCTCGTCGATCCACACGCTGCCCGACAGCTGCTCCTTGTATTCTCTGCCCATCGACGCATACATGTGCGTCAGCTGCACGCGATCTGAGCCCAAACGCTGCAGCAGATGCGCATAGACGTCGCCGGCGTAGGCCTCCACCAGCTGCTGGCAGTCGGCGGCCGCGATGTCTGCAAGGCAGAAAAAAGGAAAAAGGAAATTCATTAAATAGCCGTAAAGTGGCACCGACTACCCAAATACTCTGTTAGCACGCCAAATGTTGAATACCTTGCAAAAATGTGAGAAGAAAGTGAAGCAAAAATACCCTAAAAACCTATTTTTGGTCCGATTGTTTCTAGGGAACATAAGATATAGTAGTCCGATGTTCATGGGATGTGCCTTATATGGTAGAACTCTCAATATAGGAGATATCAAGTTATAAAAAGTCGAGATATCTTTAAAAAAAAAGTTTCTTATAAAAATCTTAATTTTCGACCAATCAATCCTATGTCTGCTACGTGTTATAGCTGATTTATAACCGATAGGATATAAAGAATGTATATAAAAATGTATATATGATATAAATTATAGATAACTGTATATGATAGAACTGTTTAAAAACTAAGAAACTAGAGTTTTCATAAAAACAGAAATATAGACAGACTCCGTTGTTGATACCGATCAAGAATATATATACATATATATTTAAGATGTCATTTTTCAATGCATTACATATTCCATGGGAAAATTTCAAATCCTTTTCAAAAGAGTTTTCTTAACTCTCAGTGACTCTTCAATTGCCGCCCCACCGCAGTGACTTGTAAACTGTAACTTTATAAGATATATTGAAAGCTTCCAAAAGCGCACAGGAAAAGAGATAAAAATATCTTAAGGAAATACCATGAAAACACGGAGGAAGTGCAGCAAAATCTCTCTGAATAGATAATTAAAAATATTCACATTTGTATTCATACTTTCTCAAAAACTTTTCATTATTCTTTGTAAAAGATGAAATATGAGATTTTAGAACTTTTCCAAATACGAGACAAAAACGAAACGAAAAACGCCTTTTCGCTTAGCGAACAGAGTATTTAGAATCTCGAATATGTTCACATATTACGTATTCGTATGCCCATCAGATAATCTAGAAGAAGACAGACAGAGAGACTGACAGAAACAAAGACAGATAGACGAACAGATGTCCGATGGCACAAAAGCAATATGCCCTTTTTCGATTTGCGAACAGAGTATTAAAAATCTAGCCCATCCATGTGTTCCCATATTACGTATACGCACCCGTCAGATAATCTAGAAGAAAACAGAAAGACAGACAGACAGATGGAAACATTTCTGATAGCACAAAAGCAATATACCCCTTTTTGCTTTGCGAACAGAGTAGAAACTAGCCCGTCTACGTTGCGTATGAGCAATATTTGCACGTATTACGTATACGCACCCATCAGATAATCTATCCAAATCCAGTTGAGCAGGCGATGCATGCTTGTGTTTTGCAGCAGCTGCATATAGTCAAGGAGGCGTGGCAGCTGCTTGACAACAATCGAATCCGTCGGCTGCAGCGTCTTGCCGCCGAGCAGCCGCCGGAAGTAGCCGTCCCAGTCGAGGCGCGACATTGAGATGTTGCCAATGGAGCTGCGCTTGAAGTTGGCATAGCTGAACTGCACCTGGTCGTCGATGCGGTCCGTTTTGATGATGTCGCGTCGACTGCGCTCCAGGCTGAGCACCTCGAGGGCGGCGACATGGGCGCGACTCTGCTCCACGCCGAAGCTCTGCAGCAGCTCGCCGACGCGCTGCTCGAACTTGCGCAGCGTGTGCCGCCTGGTCAAATCCGGCTGCAGTGTGACCAGCCGCTTGTTCGACAGCATGCTGATGCTGGTCTCGAAAAAGTACGGTGCGCCCATCTCATGGAACTGGCCCAGCAATCCCAGCCAGCCGAGCGCCGTCCGATTGCTGTTGGCCTCCAACGCGGGCCAGCCGCCGCTGCTCCTGTAGAGCAGCGAGGACTTGAGCGAGTCCACAGAGCGCGTGCTCTCGCAGGACTTGTAAAAATTTAGCAGCTGCCGCTCCATGTCCAGCAGCTGGAGAGGATTGGCCGTGCGCAGCAGCTGCTGGAAGCGCTGCTGTTCCTGCTGGCGGCGCAGCGTTTGGTTTGCCGTCGCGCTGCGACCGCAGACATAGCCATAGAAGTCCTGGCAGGGCGAACGTGTGTTGTCCAGCAGCTGCTCCAGCTGCTCGCCAAAGCGCAGCACATCGTTGTCCGCGCTGTTGCCGCACGCGGCATGCAACAGCCACAACAGCAGAACGAAAAGTTGCACAGACATTTGCCGCCTCAACCGGCTGTCACGAGCTTCGAGCTGAGAATGTTTTTGGCCAAAACGTAAACGTAACTGTCACTGTAACTGACCCTGGTCACAATTTAAGGTCACAAAGCGGTAGAAAGGTCGCATCGAATGCAAATCACCGGAAATTGCCCACAATTCCACTTCCGTAGCGAAGTCTTTTGTTGCACGTTTGTGCTTAACAATTGCCTCGCCTCGCGTCGCGTCGCTTTCAATGCTGCCGCCCAACTAATCGCGTTTTCACTGGCAGCCCCAGCTATCAGCCGCAACCCAGACCAGCCGCAACCCCAGAGACCGAACTACACTCGGCAAAAAATTCTATAGCGGGCTAAATTTTCATGTGATAGTTGTCTAAATTTCAAGTACAGTTCATTCTTAAATGAATATAACAAGAATTTGAATACTTTAAATAAGCATAAAATGATCTTAACAAGAGTTCATTTCTTAAATAATATAACATTCGCTTGCCGTGTTTAGAAATCTAGAAAATGTTGTCCACAGTCGTAGAAATTTAAGGTCTCAAATACTTACTTCAAGAGTTTATGTGCACACAAATTATCTTAATTTAATATTTTTGTCTAAAGCATAGCTATACAAATTTCTGACTGAAAAAAGAAAATCTTCTGGTAACACGAAATTCGTTCTCAGTTTAAGAAATCTTTAGTTTAAGCACAGCATACTTATTCAAATACTTAAATCAAGAATATACACGCTTAAGATAAGCATAAAATGTTCTTAACAAGAGTAAATTTCTTAAATTATGTATTGCATTCGATTGCCTTATTTAGAAGTCTAGAAATTAACGAAAATATTGTCCACAGTCTATGAAATTTAAGGTCCCAAATACTTACTTCAAGAATATATATGCTTAAGATAAGCACACAAATTATCTTAATTTAATATTTTTTATATCAATACAAATTTCGGAATTAAAAAAACAAATTCTTCTTGTCACAAGAAATTCGTTCTCAGTTTAAGAAATCTTAAGCTTATACTTAAAATAAGCATAAATGTTCTAACTGAAATGTATTTCAAAATTTAAAACTTAAAATGAAAATCTTGCTAAATTGGGAACTTTGTTCTCGAGCTTGGCTGACTTCTGACAACAAGTGCAAACGCACTTGATTTAAGTGAAAGAACTTTAAGTTTTTTCTTTCAGTGTAGAGCCGTAGAGTCGTTGTACAATCTATGAATCAGTGTCAAAATGTCAAGCTAAAATTGGTCATGACCGATTTTGATTGGACTAGACATAAACAGCAGCTTTATAGTGTAGCCAACTAGTGTATACTGTACAGTAAACACACAGTAAACATACTCAGCACAACTTTTACTAAAACCGATATCTTTGCATCTTTGTGCAGGCGCTGTAGGAGGTGATGGTGGCGATGATGGCGACGACAAGGAAAAGGCAGAGGAGGAGGAGAGAGAGCGCCTGGAGGCCATACGCGAGGCCGAGGAGCGGCGCAAGGAGAAGCACCGAAAGATGGAGGAGGAGCGCGAAAAGATGAGGCAGGACATACGCGACAAGGTAAGGATATTCGATACGATCAAAATCCAGCCCAAGTGCGACGCGTGAATTCCTGCTGCAGTTCAAATTGACTCTAGTAGGGAGTCCTTTCACGAGCGACTCCCTAACGGAGTCAGATTGAATTACAAAGGACCCAGACAACGAGAAGAAAATGTGCCAAGTGACAAAGTGTTGAGCAAGTGAATAAAAGGATAATATGCGGTTTAAGCTATACAGTGAAAGCTCGCTTTAGCGAACAGTTGAGTTAGTTGTTCAAGAAATATAAAAAAAGAAAAGCGGAAAATATTCAGGAATATAAATCTAAGAAAACCCTTTTTAATGTATTTTTATTCACAATTTTATTCCTATTCCATGAATTTCTGGATTTGAGCCAGCGAACAGCCGCTTGCTAGTTCGACGCTCAGACAAATTAAAGACATTAAACAATTTCCAATTTCCAATTTTGCTGTCATTTTACTTATTTTTATTCACAATTAAATTACTATTACATGAATTTCTGGATTTGAGCCAGCGAACTGCCGCTTGCTAGTTCGACGCTCAGGCAAATAAATGTCTTTAAACAATTTCCAATGCAATTTCTTGATTTTTTCGAGACTTTTGCTGTCATTTTGTTTATTTTTATTCACAATTTTATTCCTGCTACATGAATTTCTGGATTTGAGCCAGCGAACTGCCGCTTGCTAGTTCAACGCTCAGGCAAATAAATGTCTTTAAACAATTTCCAATATAATTTCCTGATTTTTTCGATTTTATTTATTTTTATTCACAATTTTATTCCTGCTATATGAATTTGATGGATTTGAGCCGGCGAACTGCTGCTTGCTAGTTCGACGCTCAGGCAAATAAATGTCTTTAAACAATTTCCAAATCAATTTCTTGATTTTTTCGATACTTTAAAAGTCCGATTTTCATATAATTTTTCCACATTCAAATTGATTTTCCGCTCTAGAGAAAGATTGGAGCTCTCAAGCATTCGCTGTTCGTTATTAGAGCTTTCACTGTATACACACACACACACATAGACAGACACTCAGATATATACAACTTGCATATGGCACTCGGCCAAAACACTCTTACAGTACAACATCAAGAAAAAGGAGGAAATTGTCGAGGCAATGCCACAGGAGGAGCCAAATCCGTTGATGCGAAAAAAGAAGACGCCCGAGGAGCTCGCCGCCGAGGCCGAGCAGGAGGAGCTCGACGATTTTACAAGTAAGTCAGAGATGTTTCACAATTCACAATTGCCACCACACCCCTGTGTGTGTGTGTGTGTGTGTGTGTGTATATGTAGCACTCGTACTCAAATGTATCTATGTATATGTATAAACTATCTTCAACTGGTCTTTAATCTAGAAATATATGCTAAGCTAATTCACCAAGTCGCGGCTAACCTTCTCTCGCTCTCTCCCTAGTAACTGTGTGTAACTGTCTCTCTCGCTCTCTTGTTTTGATGTATTTTTTTACTATTTATTATTTTTATGTATTCAACAATGTTTTTTCAAGCGGCTGTCAACAAAAACAACAACAAATACAACAATAAAAAACAACAGCAACACAAAAAAAAAAAAGAAGAAAAACAAATCAAAAACACGCACACCACGGCGCTTGAAAGTAGTATGTGTGTGTGTGTGTGTCGTTATCTATCTACTCGTGCTCGTAAATCTATATCTCTCTCTAATACTACTACTACTATATACTACTACTACTACTACTACTATATGTATCTATGTTTCCTGTGCGTATGTAAGCTATAAACTAATCGTATCTACTAACTAAACTCTAAAACTATCAACTAATCAAACTTTAAAGCAACGAATGAACAATCTCTATCAAGTGTGCACTCCATTCTCTCTCGCTCTCTCTCTCTCGCTCTCTCGCTCTCTCTCGCGCTCTCTCTCATTTAACAATTGATTTAGTTTTCCTTCTGTTTTGAATCATCTGGTTTATCATGGGTTTATCCTGATTTTAATGGTATTTAATGGTATCTATAAGAAATATGTGTTGTATTCGAAACTGGGTTGCAAATCGAATTAGTTAATTAATTGATGTTAGTGTAGACAATTGAAAGATTGTCATCTTTTGTACTTAGGTTTAATATTAGACTAAGGTAAGTGCGAAAATTCATTAAAAAATATTTCTGTGTGTGGTAAACTAATTGCAAGCTCTTGCATTCGTAATTCATCTTTTACACCCGTCTCACTCTCTATCTCTCTCTCTCTCGCTCTCTCTCTATCTAACTATCTAACTATCTGCCTAACTCTGTCTAACCCTTTGTCAGATTGAATACAATACTCAAGTGTTTCCGTAAAACTCACAACAAATACAAATATGAAATAAAAGAACACACACAAAAATAAAAGATATTAGATTAGGGGTATGCCCGTTTCAGGGGCTGGGGCTAGCTTTGAGGTCTGGTAGTTATAGTTATTCGATTATACTTACATTATATTTATGTTTTTTACAAATGAAACTTTGTTTATCGTTTAACAACATCAAAAACTCACCAACTGCACTAACTAACTTATAAATAGAACTTTATATGATTTCCCTTAAAACTAAAACAAAACTTCAAATAAAAACAACAAACTTTATTTCCATGGCTTGTGCGCTCGAATTACATTTGAAAACTAAACACGCATAACAAAAAAACAATAAATATCCAACTGAACTTGATGAAAACTTTTCGCTAATTGTGTTTTATGCTAACAAAATGTAATCAAAACATATATAAACTTAGTAAAAAGAAAAGCAAAAACAAAAAACAAATATATCGTACTTATCAACTTTTTCCCTCTTGCAATTGTTTATTCTCTTTCTCCTTTAAACCGTATGTAGTATATGTATTTTACATAATGCTATGTGAAATATATATAATGCATATGCCGTCTATGTATGTGTATTTCTCTCCTCTCTCTCTCTCTCTCTCTCTGTTCACACGCACAACTCTCACGCCATCTATCGCTATCGCTATCACACTCACGACTAACTGTGACTCTCTCCCTCCCTCTCTCTCTCTGTCTTACGCTCTACTTTGTGTACTTTTGTCTATCTGTTAATTACATGAGTACTTTCTGTTACACTGTTAATTACATGAGTACTCGACACGATTACATTACAGACTTTTGATTACGTTAGATGCTACACTAATTGCAATTATGATTTGGCAAGCAGAAATAAAAGCATTTAATTTATTACAACTCCCGCCCCCCGACTCTACACCTGCTGCATTGCATTTTGAGTGATGTCTCTTTGATTCCAAGCATAAATATACTTATACCTATTTTCATTTAGACCAATTATATATACATATGATTAAATGGCTACCGTACAGTTAACAGTTGCACTCAAATACGTTACGCGACGTTCCGTTGCGCTATGTTAGTTAACATGAGCATCCATAAGAAAAAAAAAAAAATACATATACATATACCAGTTGAACATACATAACATTTGTAGTCTACTCTACAAAATATGCTTATTTATTGCTGTTTCCATACTCAATTTCTTTTTACAGAACTGAAAAATCAAATAGAAACGCAAGTAAATGAGCTAAAAACTCAAATAGAGGGAAAATGTGTCATGCAGTGATATGTCAGTCATCATAAAAGATATATAAATAAATAAATAAATAACGATAATAATATCCAATTCAAATAATAACTGATCAAACCCAAAACCGATTAAACGAAACATTTATAAAATGCAATTGATTTCAATCACACTCAACTTCAATTTGTTGCTATTAATATAAAGATATAAAGTTGCAAGCAAACCAAAAAAAAAAAAAAACAAAGAAGAAGAAGAAGAAAAATAAACAAATATTATGTTCGAAACGTTCTGCATAATATTGGAAAAGCATAAACAAATATTCTATTTACCATACTTATAAAACACGACACATAATTCGGCAGCAATAAATCAACCAAAGAATATATAAAACGCCGCAAAGATTGAGGTTATGTGAAGCATAAGGATTATATACTATTATTATATCATAATAGCTACAACAATAAAACGAAAACCAATAATACCGCAAATAGTATAATAATAATAAAAAGAAAAGGATAAAGAGACATATGTACTATATTTGAAAACAGGACGGTGAAATCCTATTGAATTTTAAAGTAGTTAAAGCATAAACCAAATTATGTATAAACGAAATATAGTAAACGCCTTTAATAATATTCAAATCACTTTTGCTTCGATGATAATGTAATATACTCAAAGCCCCAAAAAAAAAAAAGAAAAACGAAAAAAAAATGCATAACCGTTGTTTAGTTGATAGCATTGCGAAATTTACGATAACGATAACGAGTTCGAAATCGAAATCGAAACTAAATAAAAACTGCGATTGGTGCGACAGAGACAGAAACAGAAATTAACGGAGGTGTTGCTGAACCATGTCGAACCGTCGAAATACGTTGCTGAAAATCTCTTTTTTTGGACTTAAATAACACACACAAACATACCTATCTAATATACCCGAAAGGATACTGGATACCATGCTCTATAATACGATAAACTAGCCTATATATATATATATATATATAAACAGCTTCTTCTATTGTTGATATATTTCCGACACGAATTCAAGCGAAATTCCCCCAACAAAATTGACTGCAGAAATGGTAAAAAACTCATCGTTGGTACTCGAAATGATTTAACCAAAAGCAAAAGAATACCAAAAATTGAATTCAAATTACTCATGATCGTTTGTTTTATTAAGCTCAAGAGAACTCTTCCCTAACAGCTGTAACATTTTGTTTCTTTTCTATACAAAATAAAAAACATAATACACAACACAACAATTGAGACATTCTAAGCTATTTGAGATACTTACTGAACATACTGATTGATGCTTCTGAAATGTAAGTAAACCCCCCAAATATACCTAAATCTAAATACTAAATCTATATACATTAAACATTTAAATACTTGAGTTTCACTTTTCTTAATTACATGCAAAAAAAAAACTTATATACTTATATTTGTTAAGTTCACACTTATCCAGTTGAAATAACAAAAACAAAAAAAAAATACCAAAAGTGAATAACGATTAGCTTAGATAATACTTTAATACCATATTGTAGCCAATTAGCCGAGGACAATAGTTCGTAAGAAAAACGCTAGGCAGTTCGAGAGCATATTGCTGTGATACATTTAGCATACATTTATGCCACGCCCCCCCCACCCCGCCCTCAAATTCAGACCTAAACAGAAAAATACCAAATCGCATATGCATGCTTTAAAGTGCAAAGAAAAATACTCCTCGAAATACTAACATACATAATACGTAATGCCATAATACATACAAAACCAAGGATTAAAAGACGGAACCCTAAATAAATACCATATATACATATATGCATATATATATTCCTCTGTTGTCTGCTCCGACTTTGTGAAGTTGTAGTGTCAAGGGTAGGTACTCGCCTACATCCACTCTATACCCACAAAACATACTATGCCACTTCTGATTGTATATACTAATACGATGTTTCACCAAACAACAACAACAACAACAACAAAAGTACACTTCACCTGGTACAGAATGCAATATTGTATGCATGAATGTACATATATAAACCTATATATATATATATATATACAGACAGTTGCACAGATACGAGACGAATTTATATCAAATATATTTAATGATTGTATGTGGAATTATCGTATATCGTTGGTCTATCGTTAATCGTGAATCGTTTATCGATTACTCGATCACTCGTATGTATGCTAACAATATATAACTATATATATATCACACTTTTCTGTACCAACATGCCCTTTCCAAACATTGTGCTCAAAATCCGTCTTTACATCCGCCTGTAGTATGCCTTATAGAGATAACCGAAAAAACTAAAAAAAAAATATACATATATATATATAAATAATATTTACCATTAAATAAAAAAAAAAAACATTTGGAAAGGACATTTCAACTTCGGCTAACCGAAGTTCGAATTATTTTTCGTTCATTATTATTTTTATATTACCTACTTATCCAATATATATAAATATATATATACATATAAATATAAATACATATGAATAAATGTTTTAATCACACTGCATTCTCTATATCTCTCTCTCTCTCTTTCTCTGGTGTCTTTCTCTCTCTCTCTCTCTCTTTCTCTTCTTTTGATTTGAAACACTCTTTTGAATCTTTAATCTGCGCCACTTCTACTACTACTACTACTACTCTGCCTAAAAATACAACAACAACAACAACAACACGAAACAACAACAACAACAACAACAACTCTACCAAAAATCTTCACCCCAACAACTACGACTCGCTGGTCTCTTTCAGACATATGTACTCTCGGTGTTTAATATGATATACCACTCGTATCATCATCAACAACAACAACAACAACAACAGCACAAGAAAACAACAACAACAACAACCAGTACAAGTACAACAACAACAACAACAACCTACATCTACTACAGAAGTAACCTTATATTTACTATATATATTATAAAGAAAAGCCATTTTTTCAACAGAACCAACTAAAAATACCAACAAAATACTATCAAAATACCAAAAAATACCAAAAAAATACCACACCATTATTTCTCAACGTTGTGTAAATTTTCACTTACTTCTTTTGCATAGTTCACAGTCACTCACACACACAGACACACACACACACACACACACACACACACATCATATAGTCACATGCATTTAAATAGCCAAGAAATATGGTGTTGTAAATGTTAAAAGTTATGTACAGTTCCAACAAAAAAAAAATACCAAAGAAATAAATGTACAATTTACAGATTACAGTAAATACCATATAGTGAATATAGCTAATATATATAATATATATATATAGATGATATAATATATCACAACAGTATCATAATGAACAATCAACATTAATACAAAACAATATTAAACAGAAAACAAAAAAAAAAAAAAACAACAAATACCGAGAAATTATACTATGTCCCTGCCTGAATGCCACAGGCTTTTATTGAACCAAATACTTTGGGTGTTGCTCAACACTGTTTCCCTTCACACAGGCTTTGAGTGTTGTTCAACACTGCTTCACTTGCAAAAATACCGAGAAATTATACTACTATGTCTCTTTCTGAACGACACAAACTTTCATTGAACCAATCTTTTGCGTGTTGTTCAACACTGTTTCACTTGCATCTTCTGACTTACAGAAACTACAATAAAAAACGAAAAATTATACTATCTCCTTTTCTGAACGACACAAACTTTCATTGAACCAAACTTTTGCGTGTTGTTCAACACTGTTTGACTTAAAACAGGCTTTCACTGTACCAATCTTTTGCGTGTTGTTCAACACTATTTCACTTAAAACAGGCTTTCACTGTACCAATATTTTGCTTGTTGTTCAACACTATTTCACTTGCATCTTCTGATTAACGGCAACAGTAAAAGAACTATCTAATTTCGGGCTGCATAAATGCCTCTCAATCTCTGTCAATCTAATAAAGCAATCCCCTAGTGCCCCCCCCCCCCCCCCCCGCGCGACGCTCCAGACAAGAAATGTCGGGAACGATCGAACGATTGAATGCCTTACAGTGGCTCCTATGAAAAGCGCATAGATACTATATCCGAAGGAAGCTTAAGATCTTTAACTTCAAACTACTTACTGCAACTACTACGCCTAGAGCCTAGCATAATGCTAACTACTATTCTACTCTATATACATATAAATGTATATATATATGTACAGATATATATATATTTTCCCCAAAAAGCAACAGATTTTACTAGTTTTACCGAACCCAAGTCTTATGCTCTTTCAAATTCTTAGCTCTTAAATCTAAACGAGAAAATGCTTTCTACTTAACATACTTACATATAGCGAAATGTTTAACTAGATTCTATAAAGGAAATATCTCTATTGCGTTCTTTCAAAAACATATATATATGATATTGAAGTTCACTTTAATTGTTTACGAAAAAACCAAAAAAAAAAAAAACAAAAAAACAAAAACGAATCAAGCATTCAAAAAAAAACAAAAAAAAACTTATACAAAAAAAAATATATATATATATACAAGAACAAAAAAAAAACAGAAACATATTATTCAATCATAACGAAAGAATTTTAACGTAAATCATAAAAAATGTTAAAGAAAAACAAACAAATGTTAAAAAAAAAATGGTTCAGATGAATTTTTTATTGTTTTGACGTTTAATATTACATATATATATATATATATATAGTTATGATAATGTATGTATATGTATATCGGAAAGTTTATAGCAAGCAGATTATTATTGAATATTATTAAATATGCATATGCATGCCTATATATACATACATATACACACATGAAATTATATATGTGTGTATAGCTATGCATATGTGTAACCAAATAGGGAAATGAATTTAAACAAAACATCAAACCAAATATGAGAATAATGTTGAAAATTATAACATTCAAGTCATTATTAGATGTGAAAGCAGTTCTATATACACAGCAAAACCAAGAAAACAAAAAACAAAAACGAAAATGAAAAACAAAATAAAAAAAAAAAACATAAGGAAAACGTTAATAGTTGATTAATTATATTGTTACTTTGAACATTTGAAAAAAAAAACCGAAATGAATAATAAAAAAACATGATATATATGTATAAATATATACTCATATGAGAAAAAAAAAAACACAATTAATACAATGGGTTTTTCTTAATTCCTGGGCAAGCAGCTCTCTCTCTCTCTCTCTCTTGTCATATGTACAACCAATACACTCTCTCTCTCTCTCTCTCTCTCTCTCCTTCTCTCTCTTTCTCTCTCTCTCTCTCTGTGATACTACGTATAGCGAACTTGATTTGGCATGACTGTTAGTCTAAATGTTTCTAAAACTTCTATGTGTCTCTCTCTCTCACTCTCTAACTGTCTATCTATCTCTGTCTCTCCCTAACCTTACTCTCTCCTCTTTTCCTGTTTTCCTTCCTATCTAAGTGAATAAGCGCAGGTGCTGCTGTCTATCGTCTATCCTAACTATTCTAACGCTAAGTATACCTACTCTTAAATGGAATGTGCTGCGTTTTCTACTAAGTATTAAGCACATATTCGTATAACATGCAAATGATAAAAACAAAAACAAAACAAAAAACAATAAAAAACGCATCTCTGCATCTGCATCTTCTACATCTGAGCCGCAGCTCAGATACACAGATACACTCTTCTACTCTCCCCTCGCGGGGTAAAGGTGAGTTATGTGTAGTCTCTATTTATAGAAAATCCTCTCGATAGACACTCGTAAGTATCTAGGTGTTCTTTCTTTTCTTATTCTTTTTCCTTTACATTTTCCCACTTAATGCATTTTTCTGTTGTGCTGTTCGATGTCAACTTACACCTGCACCTGAACCAGCCCAGGTAGGTGACCCCCCCCCTCTCCCCTCTCCCCCCACCACATCTATGTCGTGTTCCACACAGCTCACAGCCACAACACGAACCGACGACAAAGTTGCCAAAACCACAGCTAAATTGAAAAAATAAATACTTTCCACACAAAAAAAAGAAGAAAATAACAAGCAATCCCTTAGGATCAATTTGTCCTGTGTGTCCTCTTGCAAAATGCTGAAGTAACATAAAACAAAAGCAATCAAAACTCGCATCAAATTTAACTCTTTCATTTCGATACCCTTGCAGAGGGTACTACACTCTATTGACGTGCAATGTGTAAGGCGTGGAAGAACATATCATATTATGTTATATATTCCTGATCGAAAGCAAGAGTCCAGCTCGTCTGTCTGTTGCTTTGCCAACCTAATATTAAATCCTTGCATACTATATTATATATTATATATCCCGACTACTATATCACATATTTTTCACAGAAAGAAACAGTCGCAAAAACTGGCATTCCTTATAATTTCAATATGCTTCTTAAATACTTAAGATCTGCCACTATATCATATGGTTGTTATAGGAAAAATCAGTCGAAAGTAAAGATTTTCTAAAAGTAAAGATTTTCTAGACTAGGTATAAAGAAGCTCTACCAAGTTCCACTCATCTGAGCCAAATCTTATCAATATCGGATTACTATATCACGAGAAAAGAGTTTTTATAGGGAATATTTTTCTGTTTTTCACGATCTCCAAACTCAACAAGCTTCCTAACTAAACCAAATCTTAACTGAGCCAAATCTTACCAATATCGGATTACTATATCACGAGAAAAGAGTTTTTATAGCGAATTTTTTTTCCATTTTTCAAGATCTCCAAACTCAAGTTCCATTCATCTGAGCCAAATCTTATCAATATCAGACTACTATATCATATAAAAAGAGTTTTTATTGGGAATATTTTTTTTTATTTTTCAAGATCTCCAAGCTTCACAAAATTCTCAGCCTGTCTACAAGGGTATTCAGTCTTCGGCTTGCCGAAAATCTGCGTTAATTCTTGTTTCTTTTACTTTTTTCTTTTTATTTGCCTTCTTTTTTCCAACTTTTTTATTTACCTGTCACTTTTGTAGGCAATTTTACTAAGTTGTAAAAAGTTTGTGTACTTTGGTTGCAGGTGCAAAAAACACCAAAAAACACAAAACTGATTTATTCCCGTTTTGTACTTGCAGCGAAATTGAAAAAACGGCTCAGCGACGCCTTCAAGAATTGCCCACTGAGAAACTTGTTTTGAACCCAGGGAAGAGCGGCCCACAACGTTTGCATCTAGTTTCGGTTTCAAGCTGCCAGCTATATACCATATATATACATATATATACATATATGTATATATATACATCCCGACTACGAACAGCCTTTTTTTCGTAGCGCCCATTTTCAGAACTTCTTGCAAGACTTTCTAGATGGTGACTATAACTTTGTCTGAACTAGATTTACACGCGCTATACATATATATATATATGTATATATATAAATATATATATATATATATAGGAACTTAGTACAACCCTACGATGTGCCCTATGAACGCATTAGCAGCTGTACTATATTTTAATAAGAGCCAATCCTTGAGATGGAATTAAGGAATTTTACTTTATATATCTTTTTTTGGATTAATACTAAAATTAATACTAAAATACTATAATTTAACTATATTTTAATTAGAGCCAAGCCTTGAGATGGAATTAAGGAATTTTACTTTATATATCTTTTTTGGATTAATACTAAAATTAATACTAAAATACTATAATTTTACTATATTTGAATTAGAGCCAAGCCTTGAGATGGAATTAAGAATTTTACTTTTTATATATTTTTTTGGATTAATACTAAAATTAATACTAAAATACTATAATTTTACTATATTTTAATTAGAGCCAAGCCTTGAGATGGAATTAAGCAATTTTACTTTATATATCTTTTTTGGATTAATACTTAAATTAATACTAAAATACTATAATTTTACTATATTTGAATTAGAGCCAAGCCTTGAGATGGAATTAAGGAATTTTACTTTATATATCTTTTTTGGATTAATACTAAAATTAATACTAAAATACTATAATTTTACTATATTTTAATTAGAGCCAAGCCTTGAGATGGAATTAAGGAATTTTACTTTATATATATTCTTTGGAATATCTTTCTTTTATTAATTCCATTAATTGATAAGCAGCCCAAACTTTTTGGTTATCGAATCAGTACAACGATGAGAGTAGATCATATATATGTATATTGACTAGAGATTGGATTAACCAATGAATAAACAACGACATTAGTTTAAAGCAATTAGAGTAGAGAAAACTCGGCCCCATGAAAATACCAAGACGTCTTTCATATTGTGCCAAGTGCGCTGTTCTAAAAGATTCAATGAAATGCGTTGCGTTGCGATTCGATTGTAGTTTTGTAGAGAATTGAAAGTGTTTTCGTTAATTGCCAAGAAAAATAATTCATAAGATTTTCAAAGTACCTGAAATTCCTAAAAAAAAAAAAAAAAACAAATATTAGACTAAGATTCTTCGAATGTTGCAAACGTTAAAATCAATTTAGATAATTCTCTCGATAACCATAAGCAGATCATATTCAAATATTTTCCAGCCTTTTTGAATTCATCTAAATATTTTCAAATTTTAGAAAGAGTATTCAATACTTCGGCACACCGAAGCAGACATATCCCTTATCAATATTTGAACAGCTGCAATATATATACATATATATATATCGAGTTTTATATGAACAGACTTTTCCTGAGTTTCTGAGCGAAATGCAAAGTGAAATTTTTACATCAATCAGTTGAATTTTAGAAAAGAAAAAGAAAACAACAATCATATCTAAACCTAAACGATTTCGTGTCTTAATTTAAAATATTAAATGAAAAAAATAAAAAGAAGAAAATATTTAAAAAAAAAAGTCAAAGCAGCGAAAAGTAATTTTAGCCTAAGTAATAAATATAATTTACATAGCAAAACGACCGACTGAAATTATTGTTAAACGTTTTATGAACTATACTTGCATATACATAAATATATATATATATATATTTATATATTGATATGATCAAGTAAATGAATGAATAAAGATAAAATATATACATATATATATACAAGCGATTCATTTCGAGGAAAAATCAATAAGAAGAAATCAAATTAAAGTGAAAGTAAATAAATATTAAAGTTTCGAAACCTTAATCAATCATAAATTTGCGATTCAATATACTTATATACATATATGACGATAGTTGAACGAAATCTAATTTTAAACCCCAAGAAGAATTAGTTATATATACTATATATATGTATATATATATATAGGGCCATTTACAATTGAATAAATAATAAAGGTCGAACAATAGATCGAAACGGGAGAGAAAAAAAACAAACAGTGTTATTTACTTTTACAAAATAGCAAGTCGAGTTTTTACCAGTTAAATCCAGATCACAGCGGATCTATCCTATAGATATGGTCGTGAATATCAAAATGAGAAGCAAACCCAAGACTAGTTCCAAAATGAATTCTAAAAATATAAACAAAAACTTCAGCGTTAATAATAATAACAATAATAATAGTAATAATAATAATTAGCATGCTAGCGATTATTATACTTAAAAGATACAAATATATATTCTGGCATTTCAAAGATCCTCGTTCTAGACCCCGATTAACTATACGCGCATACGTATATGTATGTGAGCTGCGTTATATTGCATTGCATTTGAATATGTTGTATTTGTATTTACTGTTGGATTGTATTTTAATATATATATAGAAAGAGTTAATTTCCAATAAAGAGTTTTTAAATACACATCTTTTCACGCATTTTCTATTTCCCATTATCTAATCCCGTCCCCCAAAGGAGATGGAGACAAAAGTGCGAGTTCAATCAAAAGGAAACTGAAAAGAAGAGTTATATTGGCTAGTCGCCCATTTAATACCCTTACAGATGCGGATGTTCTGTAACAGAAAGTACTTTCATACTAAGAAGTCTTTATTCTACCGATTGGAGCTATATGATATAATAATCCATATCCATATGATAAGAAATCGCAGATATATTACGAGCATAGTAAAGCTCATGGTGACTAAATATGTTGAAGATCTTGTGAAAAAAAATAACAGGTTTTATTGACTGATCGTTCC